GCCGGATGGGAGAGTAACGTTGCTGTCATCGCAAAGAACACGATATCCGTCCTTGGACAACTTAGAAACGTCGTACTCGCAGATCATCTTCCTGCTGCGAGCAAGGCGAGTGAGCTCCTCACGATCGAGGCCGTTAGGATCAGCGAGGACACCAGATCCATCAACAATGGCAACGTATTGCTCCTTTCCGAGCAAGATACCGTTGGAGCCAAGATCTCCGTCAGGACCACCAGTCTGGAACATACGGACCTTGGTCTGGTCAATGCCCATCTTGCGGTAGATACCCTCAACGTTTTCACGCACAGACAAGGTTGTCATCGCGAAACGGTCGTGGGGGATACCGCCAAGCTTAGGGCTCTTGCCAGTGAAGAAGGACTTCCACCATGGAGCACCACGCTTGCGAGCGTGCTCGGTGGCCCAGTTGACAAGAGGAGCAGAGTTCTCGTCAGGACCCATGAAGAGGATCTCATCCTGACCGTGGAGGTCGACGATGGGATCCTTGATTCCAGGGCTGGCTGGGGGAAGGAGGAGGTCAAGGATACTGTCGATGTACTTGTGGAAAGCGACGGCGACCTTGTCCTGGTGGTTGACATCTAGAAGCAGGACACCCTTGGCACCGCCTTCTGGGATATCCTTGTTCTTGCGCTGCTGAGTGTTGGCGAGGTTGTAGTTCTCGTCGAACAAAGAGCGGGCGTTGATGGCATAAGCCTCCTTGTCGCGGGACTTGACGATACGGATACCACCACGGGCGATATCTCGGAATCTGAGGTGGAAGCCACGGAACTCGGAGCTGATGATGATGAACATGCCGTACAGAGGGTCTGGGTATTCGTGCTTGGGGAGGAAGTCCGCGCTGAGACGGAAGCTGAGAGCGACCTTGGTGGGGGTGTAGAAGTTGGTCTTAAGAACGGCGGCATTGAAGGTAAGGAAGGACTGCATGACCATTCTGTCGTTCTCGCTGACGACGGTCTTGGAGACGAGGTCCTTGAGCTGCTCGGCGTTAAGAACCTCGTCGACCTGCAGACGAAGGTAACTGAGGGTTGGGAGGAAGTCATCCTGAGCCTCGCCTCTGGTCTGGACGTAATGAGTGTTGGCGAAGTTGAGGTAGAGTCTGTGAATGAGATCGGGGTACTTCTGGATGATCTCGAGGATGTAGTCGGAGGTGAAAGTCTCGGAACGGAGACGTTTCTTAAGCTTGGAAAGCAGCTCGGCGTGAGCACTGTTGTTCGAGTCCAAAATGGCCGCAAGCGAAGTGTATTCTGAGCCAAGACGGTTGAGGAACTGCTGGACGAAGACCCAGACGCAGTGAGCATAGATGGTCTCCTGCAAGCTCAGACGGCCGCTGATGAAGTGGCCCTGGAACTTGTTCTGGGGGATACAGTAGAGGAGGGAGATTTCCTTGAGGATCTGGTGGACAGCAGCCTCAATTGGGGGGTGTCTGCTGGAGTTCTCGTAGCCAGGAGTGGGGCGGAGGTAGAGAGAGACAATAGTAATGCCGTTGGAGAAGTTCTCAAGGTATTTGCGGGAGCTGGTGAGGCGGTAGTAGTGGTACAGATCCGAGAGGGCGGAGAAGAAGCCCATGGCAGAGCCCTGGCGGTAAGCAATGACGAGTCTCTTCTCACGGCTGCCTTCGATCTCGAACATCTTGATGACGGGGCCGGAGCGAGCAACGGCATTGATGAGGAGTTCCTGGTAGATCGCCTTGGTGTTTTCGGTAGCCTTCTGCAGGAAGAGCTTGTCACCGACGATCTCAATGTTGGTCTCCTCAGGATCGGGGTTGGGGTTGGCGAATTGACACTTGTAGACAAAGTAGCAACGCAGCTGCTGCTCGCTGTTGTCTGGCAGTGGGCTGGAAGAGCGGAAGGTCTCGACACGGAAGCTGTCGGTAGCCGTGGCTCCGTTGATGTACTTCTCATCGATACGCTGCTCGTAGCGGGGGCCGTCAGTGGTAGTAACGCCGGGCCTGCTGGTGTCGATGTAGACGGCGTGGTCCTCGGCCTCCTTGTCGAGTCTGATCTCTAGCCGCTTGTCGTCACGGGCGTAGGCAGCCACTTTGGCAGCATAAAGGGAGAGGATGTGGCTGGCAATGACTTCGACGGTCTCGGTCTGGAAGTACATGTCGTCGATTCCGAGCAGGTTGTAGAACCAATTTGTCTCGGAGGCGACGAATTCGTATGGAATGAAGCCATTGTTCTCCAATTGCTCGGACACTATATATCGGAGTTCACCAAATTAGTCCTCTTGGGCCAAAATGTGCAATTAATTAATTGCAGTCAATTGTGCAGCTTTATCATCACGTACCAGCAACCATCTGTGCCTCCTTGCCTTCGAACTTGGCTGCCACGTAGCCGGGGCCTTGCTCGGCCAGGACACGGTGAGGGCCTCCCGGGATACCGAGATGGGTGGGCTGGGGGGACGGCTGGCGGCCTGGAGTGCGCACAACGCTCTCCAGCTGCTTGTTCAGGGGACGCTGGAAGCCCGTTGGCGTGCCAACGCCCGAATCAGCTGCCGGCTTGGGGTGGGAGGGCAGCCCGCCGTTCTGAGGGGAGTCCGACATGGTTGCGGTTCGGTTTTCTAGGAGCTTCGTAAAACAAAACGGTCTGGGGGGTTCTATATATCGTGGAAGAAGGGTCTATGGAAAGCGAATTGCAGCTATAGGAGCAGCGAGAGGAGAGGCTGTGAAGAGCACGCAGCCATGGGACAGCTGCAGGACTGAAGATGAACAGGCAAAGTCGTGAAGTTGACGTCGAGATAAGAGTCGGCGAGGAGGAAGAAGGAGGAGGAGGGGCAGAAAAAAGGGCAGGAGCAACAGGCGGTAGAGCTCGCCTTAATAAGCAGTTTCGCGTGGGGCGGCTAGCGGAGGCAACAGCGAAGCGCCGGCGGCGGAAAGACGGAAAGCGTCGGGAAAAGCGGAGAGCACCTGACCTAAGCCATGGTGACTAAGCAGTCATGTGTCGTGAAAAAATCAGCGCCCCGTGACTTTTCCTGGCTTAGCTAAGCATCTAGACTTTGCGCCTTTTTGCTTTTTGCGACGTCGCGGCATCAAAAGCGACGCAGCAGCGAAACAGCAGCGCAACAGGAGAAGGGAGGGAGGGAGGGAGGGACTGCGAGACGGCGGAGGTGAAGACGCTGCGTTGCTCTCAAACTCGCCTTGTCGTGGTAATTCTCCGACCGGCTCGCCTCCAGGCCCGATGACACTGTAATCACGACTACTTACTCCTCCGTACTTACAATGGAGCAAGGCATGGATATTGCTACTTACTCCTGCTACCTACGGAGTACTACAGCTAACTAACTACTAGACAGCTGCGGAGACGGTGAGCCCACGAACAAGCAGGATCCTTCGCAGCTGACTGCAAGAGGCAACTCTAGACCTCCTCGCTTCGACGGCGGCGGGCTGGTTTGGTTTGGCCGTCGTCCGTCTTTCTTCGTCAGCCGGGAACTCGCCTGGCTGGCAGTCTGCTGATCTGTTTCACCAGGGGCTCACCGTTCGAAAGTGTATAGCCCAAACCATCCTCAACAAAGACCGCCCGACAGGGCCTCTCGGGCGATCCAGACAGACAATGACTTACCGATCAGAGACAACGAGACCACAGCGCAGGCGGGCTGGCCAGCTTACGGATGGCGACCTGTTCCAGGCCTTGTCTCGTTTGTTCCTCCCCCCTTTTTTTCTGTTGTTGTTGGTTGGCCGTTGAACGGTTGACCTTCCCGTTTGTCTGGACGGGGACGGGCATATAATTAAGAGCTCCCAACATTACTTTTGCTCGTCTCCCTGTCACACCGTCAACGCCTTTCTTTCTTCATTATTATTCCTCCTGATGGATGCACCCCAGAGAAGTCCTTCTTTATTCATCAACTCCGCAAGTAGATCACTCTGGGGTAGCTCATCTATTTCGACTATTGAAAATCCAGGGCTGGCTCGTTGCCTTCAATGCTTAATAGTACGGATTCAAAAGAGAGTGCTTTGGTCTTCTCTTCTTCTTTTCCACGGAACAATATTATTATTATCTAGTTGCAGAGTGGCAGAGCCCATTATTCTCAACAAGATTTTACACCTTATTTGCCGTCAAATCGTACCTTGATCGCCCAGCTTGGAGCCTGGCCCGCGGAAGTTAAGCGTACATACGCATATGCAGCCCGCATCACCAGTCGGTCATTTTTTTTTTCTTCCTTCTGCCATGTACGGGTACATGCACGATAGACTACACAGGGCGTATCCTGCCCATCCTCCCCCTCCATCACGCAATTGCTGCTCTGTGACAATCCCAGCGGGCGCTCCTGCTTCCATCTTCATATCAAACATGAAGACAGAAGACAGACAGACGAACAGACGCACAGGAAGGCTGCCTTTCTGCCCAAACCACTCCTTTTCCCTCCAACCCCCTTTCTCCCTTTCCCCCGTCAAAACTCCATCTCCTTTTCACCCCCTGGATGATGATGTAACCAGCGCCTCCTCATAACAAAAGGGTGAAAACTGGGGAAACCCCAGCAACCGGTTGGCACAGCCGTCCATCTATCGTCTTCTTTTCTTTTCTTCCCCCCATCGCTCGTCTCTTCTAGTCCTCTCTTGTCCTTTTCTCCCTTCTCCTTCGCCCCCCTCCTCCCCATCCCTGACACCACGTTCGGACCGGTCGACAGGCTGACAGGCTGACGGGCTGACGGGAGCTGGACTTGGTAGCCAACCGGATACTGCGCAACCCAATACAGCCTCTCCGACCATCTTCCATTTACAACTGCACTGCTACGCTCTGCATCCATCCACTCAATCCATACACTCCAGCAGACCTCGCAGGCGCAACATAATTTAAAATCCCTCGTATCTTCAACCCTCAGCCAGTCATGGGAAAGGCGTGCTGGGCGGACCAGCCAGACTTGGTCACATCCTCCGTTTGAATCGTAGTTTTTATTATTCAACTGTTATTACTTTCGGATTTCCCAGCGCCCTTGGGGACCTTGTCTGCTGCCCTGGTCTAGTCAAGCACATCTGAGAGCTAGCAACCATGGTTAGCTACATGGATGGCAAACTCCATATACCTTGTTGACTCGCTAGTTCACCAAGTATCCGACTCTAGAAAAGTCCATGGACGGAGCAGCCTGCCGTGTTTCATCTTTTTCTTTTTTCCTCTCTCTTCTCTTTCGCTCTCTTGGGGTTTTTTTTTTTTTTTTCATTTCTTGATGGATGCCTTACCAAGGTTACTCCTGCGAGGAAAGGAGAGAAGCGCTTGTTGCGACGGACCTTGATTGTTGGTTCTGCCTCTTCCGTCCCCCTTTTTTTGATTGTTGCAATTATTACCTTGCAGCTCTATTTTTCTTTCCCTGGCTTTATTTCTTTCTTTCAGCTTCGGTATTTAAAAGCTTTGTCTCTTCCGCTTCCCTGGGAATTCTTCTTTTCTTCTTCTCTTTCTTTTCCCCAGACTTTTCCTTCTCCGCATTTTCTGACGTTGAACAAGGACTCAAAAGGCACAGTTATATAGCCTCATCTAGCCAGTCAGCTATTAAAACAAGCAATACCAGACAGCTATCAGTCCAATCTATCAATCAATATATTCGTCAGCTCGTTTGATCGTCAAGAACCTTCATTTGCAAGACGTGTCATTTCTATCAACCAATATCAACTGGGCAGGATCCCTTCCATCTACCAAATATCTTTAGCCAATACCACGGCCACCGCCAAAAAATACACATCGACAATGGCTTCAACCATGACCCGGCCTGCTCATTCCTCGTTGCCGCATACCATGCATCCTTTCCCGAGCACTGGTGCCGACTCAACTAGCCCATCTACCAAACAGCTCTCGGTCTCAACACTCAGCCTCGACATCCAGCGAGCCATGCAATCATCCTCCAGCCAGCCAAAGTACATCTCTGCCGGCAACAATGACTTCGAGCACCCACCTCCACCTCCTCCATCGCCAGTCGGCTTTCCCTCCGGCTCGACTAGCTGGAGGTAGACTCTTTCCGGCCGCATAACCCTGACAAAAATCATACATACTCCTGTCCTGATGTCCCGCCCCGGATACACGGTCAACGAGCCAACGTCCAAAATCTTCAGCTGCTTTTCGTCCTTTTTCTTTTCGCAATTATAATCTTAATTTGCATTCGGGTCGGGATAGAACGGAGTTGTTTTCATAGATGGGCTTCCAGCTTCTTTTCTTCTTCTTCTTCTTCTTTCTTTTTCTTCTTTTCTTGATATCCCTGTCCAACGAGCTGGTTTCTTCAGGTGTTTCCCATACTGTTTTCTCAACGAGATATTGTTTCCTATGTCGAATTTGCTTCTTCAACCCAATACTCAGCCACACAACAGTGGTCTGCTTGCTTCTTTTCTTCCTCCTCTGTTTGCCGGAACACATGTCCTCCTGACTGGGTATATTGTATCCGTGACACCGATGAGAGATTTTTTTTTTCCCTTTCTGTATCAGTCATCCTCAAATAACCGTCTTTTTCCAAGTTCCAAAATGGGCTCGTAGCTGGCTACAGAAATCAATGCCTAACGTAGTCGAGCGGTCATGAGACTGTCGGGGAAATATTTCTCTCAATCCAACAACGCGTCCTCAGGAGCCTGCAGGTTCGCTAGCCGTAGGCGTTGTAGATCCCGTCTGCACCCCAGACCCACGACTACCCTGGTTGGAAACCTGGCCGCTGCTGCTCCGCTCGGCGTACATCTGCTCCAATGCACGCATTGCATCTCCATCACCCTCCAGGGCCAATTTATTCAACCTCTCAGCCTCCGCGACAGCCGCTTCAACCCTATTCCACCCCGCAATTTTCTCTTCCTGAATCTGGCTCTTTTTTAACGGAAACACAGTCCTGACAGCATCGGTTTCGCCCCTGGAATGTTTCGCCTTCGCCAGCCGCGCCAGGAATCGTGCCTGGTTGCTCATTGCAATCCTGGATGCGTCGCCCATGTCCTCCCCAAACACGCTTTGGCTCTGACCGCCCGAGCTGGATATTAAATTGGCCTTTTGGCCCACAATCCTCACTCGGTTGGCGCACAGGAGCTCGCTGCTGTCCTCTTCATTTCTCCAGAGCGGAGGAGTTGAGTTTGGCTGCCTCTCGGATGAGCGAGTGAACATCAACTCCGTCCCAATCATGTCGGCCCAGGAACAGCTGAATATCTGGTTGCCATATGAAATTATCGGATTAGGCGAGTGAAGGTCCATTATCTGGATTCGGCTTTGCGACTCTTGCTCTTGGTCGTTGTGATCTTGCCCTCCGTCACCGTCAAGCGAAGGTGTCATGGAAGGGTCAATTGGAGAGTGGATTGGAGTCGAAGTAGATGATCGCTTTCTCGGAGGTCGTATGGGCCCGTTAACTGAGGATAGCTCGAGGTTGATATAAGCTGTCTATATGTAGCTCTGGTTAGCACGCGGTCTATTGTAAACTGTGACCTCACGTACCTCTGTTTCAAACGGGTCATACTCATATTCGTAATCTGAATCATTGCCATCCACATCCATAGCAATAGTCTCAGGCCGCTCCATGGCTGTGAATAACAACACCCGTCCTGTTTGATCTTTAAATCTTCGCCTAGCCGCCCTTAACAATGAATGAAGATGTCAAAAAGTCGCTTGTTGAGCCGCAGCCGACTTTTCAGCGCCAAATTACGTCATCAATGTGATAGTTAACCAAACTCCAAATACCAATTTCAATGAACACACTCGAATACTGTGACTGCTCTAGGGGTTGATTCAGCTTCATGGACGAATCCTAGGTACATTAATCGCCTAACTCTATTGCGATACTCTATCCTATTGAACAACTATGTTTCCTAACCAAAAGTCAACTTTTCAAGTCATCTGCAACTCTGCTGCTACATATGTATCGAGGCTTGGGAATTTGGTATAAGCCGTGCAGAGCAAAACGAACCAACAACTACCGGTGCTAATCTCCAAGTGAAACCGATCAAATATGTAATTTCAGATATACAGTCATCACTTATACAAAGCCAATGGGAACTCCATTGCCTTAAACAAATCACACCACAAAGAATTTGAAGATCCGTAGAGTAAAACAAGAAAATATCAAGAATCAATAAAAAAAAAATTCCAATGAGTGAAGGAGGAAGGGACCTCGGTGAAGGAATGACAGGACGCAGATGCAAGCTAGACAAAAGAAAGACAAAGTGATATGCATGAACTTTATGTACTCGGAACGAAAGGACTGGGTTATTTGCTAAGGAACGAGAGGGATAGGTAGCGAGAAAGCGAGAAAGCGAGTCAAGGGTCAGGAGTCGGGAATCGATGGGAAGACTTGGTTCGGGGACGGGCGGCGCCTAGGCTATGTATGCAAGATGAGAGATTTTTGCCCCAGAGAGAAAGAAATATGCAGAGATGCACGGAAAAAAGGGAAACCTTTAGGGAAATGTATATAATATGACGCCTTAATGCAGCAACGACCGATTCTGTTGATGAGTATTGTTCGTAAAGGATATGTCGCTGCCGGCACTCCTTGGCCTCTCGGGGCTTCCGCCTCTATGCTGGACTAGTCGGTCTGTGCTCTCGCTGTAGCCATGTCTTGGCTTGGATGGCGGTGAGTCGTGGTACGGCTCGTAGCGGGAGATATGGTTCAGCTTGCCGACTTCTTCGTCGTGCATGTACCCGTGGGATTTGGGCCTGAGTAGAATTGAACCCCGAGGATCGAGTGGAGTTAAGTTGTCTAGATCTCTGTCGAAATTTTCTGTGAAAATACAAGTTAGCCGGGGGAACGGTAATGGTAAAAGTGAAGTACAACAGCATGCTTACGTTTCTCCTTGTGGCGCTCCTCGTGCGGATTTTTGCCAAACAGTGTCATTATACCGTTGATCAAGATAAGTATGCCCAAAATGGCCGCAAGACTAGTCTGGACGGCAAGGAGAGCAACACCAGTCACAGTCTTTGTTGTCTTCGAGATACCAAACTCGTCAACAAAGACGATAATGCATGCAACAGAAAGTACTCGGACAACCTGGATGGAGATATTAATCCATTGACCAGAATTGGTTTCGAAAGGACGAGTCCATAATAGAAGAATGAGCATGAGGCCTTCAACAATAAACTGACCAGCAGATTGAGCGAGGCCATGCCCATCTGCACCAGCGATCACGCAGCCACGGGCAAAAAGGTACACGATAACAGGCACGAAAATCCACCAATAATCCTTCTTATAGTGGTCGTAAAAGAGACTGTACTTGCGCCAAGCTTCCTTGTCCTCAAACAGAGCTGAAGCAGTTCCCTCAGTCTTCTTGAGGCGTTGGGCAAGGGACCAGATGCGGAAAGTGAAGTATCCAAGAACACCTGTGAACAGCACCAGGGTGACTGCAGCAAGAGTTTTTGCGGCCCACGAGTCACCACGAGTGAACTGGAAAATGCAGTAGAGGGTCCAAATTCCGTAAAGCAGAAGAATCAAGTTGGTGATGGTCCTAGCAAGGAAACCCCAGTAATGTTGTCGGAAATTTGACAAACGCTCTGGGAACGTGGAGTACAGAGCCCAGACTTCCAACACAACCTTCCCTAGTAATATGCCTGCGGCAATGACAGCGATGACAATGGCAAAGATAAGTAAAACAGTCATGAAAGTATTGGCTGCTGGAATAGAGAGTTCTTCAACGCCCTTTTTGATGCCGCTAAGACGGTTGTTGACTTCCTCCTGTATATCACGGGCCAGGAGGTGGACATGGCGGGATGTGAGATCAAGCGAGCGCTTCTCAGTAGTGCCATTTGTGCCATTTTTTTCTACTTGAAGACTCCGAAGATAGGTGACGCTGTTTTCTGTGAGGTTTCCGCCGGTCGCATTCCGAAAGTTATCGATGGATTGCTGTAGGTTTGTCCAGGGGAAAAGGCCCAGGCTGAAGCTAAAGTTTTTGGTAAAGCTCCTATAGACGGGAGGATAATCCACACTACACAATCCGTTCAATGCAATGGCCTGAAAAACACCCATAACTTGAATGAAAGATGGACTTGCGCCAGGTGCTCCAGGGTGAGCGGTAGTGCCTACAGCACCAGCGCCAGAGAAGACCAGGGCAGCACCAGAGATCCCAGCGGCAGCGTATGATACCATCGGAGTGTTTAGGGAGTGTCCATTGCCAACAGTTGACTTGATGCAGGAGAGTTCATTTTTGTCGTCTTTTTGATTCAGCTTCAGTGTAGCTTCGGCGTCTAAATCTGGCACCATGAAGGCAATAGTCGGTATTCTGGATCCAAACTCTTCCGAGATCGGTTGCTGACCTTTGGCGGTGAAACGGCCGGCAGGCACTAAAGTAACCGTCAGTACTCCTGGCTGGTGTTTCCGTATTGAGTTGAAAGCAGTATATACATACCAGGGCAAAGTTGGTCTATAAACGTGTCTGACGAACATGGATCAAGATTCTGCGTGAACGTCTGTCCGTATGCAAGGATGGTAATGGTGGCAGTGACATTTTGTGTTTTGACGTTCATCCCAACGAAATTGTAGGTGACTGTCTTGGTTGCGCGGTTAAGGATGAAATCCAGCTCCTGAATCTCGATGTCACTGTTCCGAAGGCAAGAATTAAACCCATTGTTCCTGAGCACGTCTCCAGCAAGCGTAAGCCCAGCGTTTAGAGACAGGAAAGCCCACGCAACGGTGGTAAGGGATATGAACTTCATTCTGCCGAAGGGCGAGTCGAAGTTGTATGGCCTTCCGAAAGGGGTAGCGACCAGGCCTGACAGGCCACTTTTGTTGGAGGGAGACTGTAACCGAGCGATGGACGATATATGCGTATGTGAAATTCAAAGCGGATAGAAAAACGAGAGTCGAGAAAGGTACGGAAATGCAAGAGAACGACGGAAATGCGTTGGCTAAAAGACAGTATGACTAGCAGGGTCAACCCGCATAGTACGATGCAAAAGACGGTCAAAAAGGAACAATGCTGATTCTATTCTTGCACGCGGAGAACATGAGGAAATAAAGGAAAATGATAGAAGAAAGGGAAGGCGGCAAGACGAAGGCCGTTCAGCATTGACGTCCCTCAGGGGCTAAGCGATTGGCCGACTCTCCATAACCGTGCAAAAAACGAAGGATAAAAAAAAAGACGGGCGGTTGGTGATATCGAGAAAAACGGCTGCCCAGATAAAACCGATAAACGCAAAGACGACACAAGCGAAGGTTAAGGACAGACGGAGATAAACAAGGGAGGGACTTTTTGCTGTCGTAAGAAAAAGTATGTGGTATGGTGATATTGTTTCAAGAGTGCCTTTGCAGAGGCCCTTTGGGGGAGGAGATGGGCAGCCGCCGGTGATTGGAGACGACGCACCTGGATGGCAACATGTCGTTTCTCCGGACCATAAGATTTAGCGGGCCAATGCAAGGGTGTAGCCACTCGTAGGCCGCCGTTGCTCCCCTTTCGCTGGCAAACCAAGACATTCACGGCGTAATTATGGAGCTAAGGGGGACATCTTTCGCGCTGGCCTTCAGTCATGCATCCGCCACGTATCCACCGGGGCACAAGCACATCGCTGCTAGTGGTATGGAGCATGGCTTATCTGTCGCTCATTGATTGTGGTCCGCAGCTGTTTCAATCCAACATGGCATATATTCAGTCATGCATTCCAAGAAAGTTGTGTGAACAGAAGGGCCGCAAGCAAAGGAAAAGAGGGCGAGCTGCAGAACATTCGAGCAGGATAGTGGGCCAGGGTAGGCTCAAATTTAAGAATTAAGGATGAAGAAACGTCAGGAAACCCCTGGGCAATTGGCGGGTCTGATCCACCGTAGGGCAGGCGGGAAGCTAGACCATAAGCCACAGCCACGGCCAAGACGGTTCTGGCCTGGACTCTTGGTTGAACTGTTGAAGGCTGAAAAGGACGAGTCGACTGGCGCTCTTTCGAGTCGTTCGTTCGCTTCGAAAAGGAGCTCTTTTCCGGAGTATGCCTTCGTGGCATACCATAAATAACTCCAATAGCCTTTAATTAAGGGCGTCGAGCCGCTCTCTGCTGCCTGTCCCGCATGGATGAGGGCTTGAAAAAGTTGACGTGTAGAATATATAGCATCTCCAGTTATCTCCAGGAGTTTATGAATTCGAGGACCAGAATGGGGCATGGGGGCTCCATTGTTAATCAAGTCTGGAATACTCCGTACATACATTTATTCGGGCATCTTGGGCACTCCGTATAGAGCAAGGTTGTAGTACTCCGTACATGTTGCTGGCTTCGTTGATAGAGAATCCACTCCTCCTCTCGTCTCTTCCATGTCACCTCGTTTTGTCCCGGGAGCAATATATTTCGGAGAACGCAAGCCAGCAAGCTACTTCTGAGCCTTGTTCTGCTGCTCTCGCATGGCTGCTCTGGCACTACGACTTCCCCCGAGTTTCGGTCCACGTGGTGCGTCTGTCTTGGAGGTTTTAGTGTTCCGGGTACGGGCTCCGCGTCTTCTCGAGTGAATGGCGTCAAGGAAATCTCTACGGAACTGATCTGCTATTCGATCATCTGCAGCCTGATCGTCCTCATCTAGGTGGCTCTGGGGCTCTTCATAGACATCGACTGATCAACCCAGTAATGTTAGCATAATACCCTCCAGCTAGTGTGCAGGATGGGCAAAGGCGAACGCCGCACTGGAAAAAAGGAAGTAAAACCAAGGTGACAAAACTTACGTTTACTTTCGCGCAAAACTTCTTCTACGAGCCGATCTCGCATTATATCTTCGCTATTACGCCTTCTCCTCCCGCCGCGAGTTTGTTTGCCTTTGTTCACCGTTTCCTCATCTTCGGGTGCCGCGGAATCACCCTTGGCAAGGTTCCTGGTGGCAGCCTCTGTCCTTGCAATGTTCTGGAGCTTCGAGTCTGGTCCGAGGTCTATCTCGTGTAATTTGCCTAGAGTTGCAGGCTGTCTCTGTGGAAGCTGCAGGTCGGCAGCAGACGTATGTTCCGCCGCCTGCCGCGACTGGTTCTGGCCATCTGCAGGATTGGTAGGATCGCTGTTTTCCGACGGTAACGTCCCATGGCGACGTTTAGCCATCTCAGCTTCTATAAACGCCATCCTTATCACGTTAGTTGTTGCACTTGTAATGTGCTAACAAGACGGACGAAAGAGAACATAGGTGAAAGGTCTACGTACATATGCTTGTCAACGTCGACTTTCTGGCCGGAGTGTCCGACAAATCGATCTGATATACCACTTAACCGGCCTTCGGCCGTGGTCTCAGCAGCTGGCACGAGAGCATCACTGCGCGACGAACGAGACGTCGAGAACTCGATGCCGCCTTTCCTGGCCTTGTTCTTGCGAAGTCGCAATATATCAGCGACTCCCATCTCGTCTGTTTCCACGCCATCTGGAGCCGATGATGCCGGTGTATCAGGCGCAGTCGGTGTTGATGCCTTCGCTTCCACTTCGTCTTCGGGTCTCGTATCGTCAGCTCGTCGGCGCATGAACTTCCGTCTCTTCGCAGGGTTAAATAGGGGTGCATCGACGTCCATGATGAGTATCAGCAGGGGAGTATCTCCTCGTCTGGCGGTGTTTTTGCTGGGCTGAAGTTGATTGAACTGAACTCGATTTGATTTCTTTTCGCCTTCGCGGTAGGTTTCTGGATTATGTAATATCAAATTACATAATCTAGAACTTTCGTTGCATTAGTTTGGGAACACATAAAAGGTAAAAGTAACGACGCCGGCAGCTAGAAGACAAGACGCAGCGGACGGATGGGCGTGGATGAGAAGTGAAAGAGATGAATGTGCATGGTAAGTATAGTCGTCAAGCTATGTACAAATTGTTAATAAATAACGAAAACCGCAGCCGCCAGCCACCCTTTTTTAAAAAAAAAAAGCATCAGCACTATATACGCCTGTCCCAGGTTCAATGCAGGAGAAGATCGATCAGCTCAAGGCCACCTTAGCACCATATTTGCTAGAACAAGTGACGGTAAGCAGCTCGGTCCATGGATGAGGGTCTCTTGACTCGATGTTCTTGAAGGTCTGCATGATTCTGATTGTAGTGTAGGAAGCTTCGGTAAGAGCAAATTGTTCTAAGACATAGCCATTAGTATACGAGCGGAGAAATGGTAGGGAATAAAGAAGAGACATACGGCCAAGGCAGATTCTGGGACCACCATTGAACGGCAGATAGCCCCAGCCAGGGCGGATGGTCTCCCATCGCTCTGGCTTGAACTCGAGAGCGTCCGGGCCGTAGATGTCGGTACGACGGTGCATGGAGTATACACTATATATGACTGAGGTTCCCTTGGGTACGAAGACGGGAGATTGGCCGTCTGGGCCACCGCCGCGAGGGAGAATGGTGTCCCGGATGGCACTGCGAGAGTTGCCTGGCACAACGGGGTATAGTCGAAGAACTATATCATTTGTTAGGCTGATTTAATGGCTGACCGGGGGGAGGGGGCTAAGGAGGGGGAGTGAAGAACGTACCCTCATCCAAGGTATAGCGGAGATACTTCATGTTCTTGATCTCTTCAAAAGAGGGAGCGCGGCCGTTGAGCCTCCGAACCTCAGCCTGGAGTTTCTCCCAGACATCCTGGCGTTTCGATAGGGTGTTCCATAGCACACTAAGCAGACTGGCAGTGGTATCACGGCCGGCAAGCAGGATGTTCATAAGTTCCGACCTCAGCACCAGCGGATCCTGTGTCTCCTTGACCAGCTCGTCCAAAAAGACATATCGGCCAGACTCATCAGCTACGTCTCCAATCTTCTCCCGCGAGTTGTACCGTTCGATTCCTTTCCTGACATAATGGTCTGCAAAGGTATGTACATCCTTGACTCCTTGCCAGTACTGCTTGTTCCCCCAGGTGGACGGCAGCCCAAACCTGAAACGCTTCCCAATGTAGCCGGTGCAGTAGTCGAACGACTGGCCGAAGATGTCGCCTTTGGGGGCGGTGCTGCGGTGGCCGGACAGAGTGCTGGCGGACTCTCCGAAGAGGAATTCGGTAGCAGAGTCGAGTGTCATGCCAAAGAAGAGGCTCTGCAGGTCGACCGTCGAGCCGTCAGTGGGGATCAGCTCGATAAGCTCGCGGACATGACGCTCGAACATATTCAGGTCTGCGATCTGGGAGCGCGAGAAGTTGGGACGCAGCATCGCCCGGGAGTGTTCCCAGTCGCCGCCATCGTTGGTGAAGACTCCGTTGCCGAAGAGCTCGCGGAAGCCGGCTTTGCGGCGTGGCGGCAGTTGGTAGTCGTTGAACTTTACGGCCAGCACAGTCTTGACGTTCTCCGGTTCACAAGTCGTTATTACTGCAACTGTTAGAACTTGGGCGCTCTTCGGTTATAGCTAAAAGGGGGGGCGAATATGACACATACTCGGCAGGCCAGTGAGCTTGCTGGTGAAAGTGTTGCCGTACTTGAGGTACCGGTTCCGGACGTCCTCGAGGAATGTGTCGTGCTTGTTGCTCTTGATGGCCTCGAGAAAGAGCCCCAGGCCAAAGATGGGTTCGAAATCGGGATATGCTGGCGGCGCCTTGCAGCCATGCTCCTTTGCAGCACGACGGCGGGCGAGCGCAGTCTGGATGTACAGGGCAAGCCTGTAGAGGACGAAACTACCGAGCAGCAGCCAGCCGAGCGACAGAGCAAGCATCTCGATCACTCGAAAATATATATAATTATTTTATATATAAAATGAGACGCCCACCGGAAAGGACGAATATATATATATATATATATATATATAATTTATTTTATATAAAAATAAAGACAGCGGATATCGACAAAAGATCTCGGGAGGTCAAGACAAGAAAAGCTAGGCTCAGGCGAGCGGGCGCTGCGGTATATAGAGACGGCCAGACAGAATAGCTAGCTCATCCCCGCCGATTCCCCAAAGTTCAACAAGGCCACGGCATTTCTCTGCTTCTTCTTTACTTTCCACTCCACAAAAGTCTCTCGGCTGTCGGTTGGACTTCACACGGGACACGATAGGCTGAAAAACGAGGAAGGGGTACAAGAGCTGAAAGACACGGAGCAACAGGCAGGCCGTCTTGTCCCGCGGTGTCTGCTCGTCCTGGCACAACTCGCTGCACAACCAGGCATAACTCGCTGATCGACCTGCCAATCTGCCCGGCATGTCCGTCTATTTAACTAGCATCTCAATTCGCTGGACAAGCCCGGTACAAGCCAGCCACGTAGGCCAGTTGGCACGGTCATAAGGAGTGGTGGGAGAGAGACGATGACAGCTGTGCGATGCCAGATCGGCTCCGACACCGATACCGACACCGACATCACGACATCATCACCAGAGGATGATTTCACAACGACGCGGAATGATGGACATCTTTCTCCGAGAGACTGGTCGATGGTATTCATGATTCGCCAGCACCGAGTATGGAGCAAGTAACCTCCATGGCAGTGCTTAAACTCGCATGAGGCGCACTGGATCCTGCATATACTCTTTTACCGTGTAGGAGCGATCTACACCCCGTTTCAGGGCTTATATGGGAAATGGACGTCGTCAGAGGTGCTCTTTTTCTGGTTTCCCGCACGGATGAATGTCCATTTCCAGCGGTCACCGCTCTCGGCTTTGGCCGTTACGATATGGGCCAGGTAGCATGCAGTATGCGGAGCGACCGGCCCAGTTAACAGATACAGATACATCTCCTTATATGCGTCCGATGACAGTCTACCTATATCCAGGATGTAGGGTCAATCAGATAGAACCTGTCTACGCCTGAGGAATACCTGATAACCAGGAACAACCCGGTGATTATCCGTGAGGCGAGAGGGAAAAAAAAAAAAAAAGGGTTGGGGGAGTTTATCGCTGCTTGCTTTGCTGGCTACGGTGTATCTCCTACTGAGCTCGTCTCTCCCGTCCAAGATACAGGGCAGGGGTTGCAAGGCCCCATATCTCACTGCAGGGCAAAGGGGGCTACTGTGGTTCCTGGGTTCAGAGGAAGTAATTTAATATATACATCGAGACTCCTCAGGGGGAGCAAAACCAAGGAATAACTAATGGTTATATCGTCATTTCGGGATGGAGCAAGCTATTGACAGAGCTGTGATTGGTCCGTATTAACTCCGAGTAACGTGACATGAATATACCGGACCCACCGCAAGGTTGGCCCCTTTTTTTGTATTTCGACCTTGAAGCCCGCCGGCGAGAGGAATTCAATGCACACAGAACATTTCTCTAGGTGTGATTGTTGAAGAGCTGCAGGCCAGTGTTGGTAGTAATAGGAGAGCAAGGAGTTTTATTGTGAATTCTCGATTGGCCAGCGAGTTTTGAAGTCTGCCGCGCGTCTATCTCACGTGAGCGCCAGTTAGCTTTGGAAAGTGGGCACGCGACTCTTAGCCGCGGGCCGAGGTAAACAAAGATATCAACATTGAAGTTATAAAGTAATAAGAAAGTTCGAGCGACGAGCTATACTTACTACTAGATATTAATTATCTAATTAGTAAATAATACCGAGTAATAAATACTAAATTATATATAGAGATACTTATAATATTAAATAATTAAAGGCTTAAAATTTTATTTTATTAAACTAATAATTATAAATATAAAATTAGTACCTTATAGCTAGTAGTAGTAGAGGTATTTTATAGTTACCTAGTTACTATAATAGAGTATTATATATTAATAATATAGATCTTAAAAGTATTAATATATAATTATATTACTATTGGTATAATATTTTATAAATATGGATTCTTTATATTAGTATTAATTTAAAAAGTATTTTCTCTAAATATTTCTTTTCCTTTTTTTATACATAGGCTTCTTTTACTTTAAAAAAGCTCTTTATTAGGTATCTAATAATTAATATTAGATACCTAATACTTAAACTTTTTTTTAGTATTTAATTTCTACTATAGATTTTATTTAGAGATAAATAATTTTATTACTCTAAATATTTATCCCTAAGCTATATTATCTAGTTTATTTATTTAAACCTTTTTAAAGTATAATTCTTATTTTTATCTTTTATATTATTATTTAAATAAAATAACTTATTAATATATAAAATAGTTAAAGTAATAATTATAATATTACTATTATTATCTTTTGAAAAATTATTTAAATTATTTAAGTTTAAACTAAAAGAATTTTTTAATAAATCTAAATCTACTACTATATCTTTAGACTATATAGAGGAAATATCCTAATTTTCAAATTTTTTAATAGAAGGAAGAGTTACCTTAGAGGCCTATAATATTAAGTCTAAATTTAACTTAAGAGAATTAGAGTAAGCTTTCTTACTAATAGGGGCTTTAGTAGTTTCCTCTAGAATTTATTCTATTACTATATTATTATTAGAAGTAAAAAAGAGGGAGGTAATAAATAATAATCTAAACTTAGTACCTTTAGTATATAGTCTCTTAATTAATATTATAGAAATATTAATATAGTAGAAATATTTAAATTCTTTATTATAAAATAAAATTTTAGTTATATATTTATCTATTAGAGAATGAAATAAATACTTATATTAGTATATTAGGTCTAAATTTAGATATTATTTTAAAGATAATAGCTACTTAAACTT